TTTATATTTTTAATTATTTATATTTAGCGTATTATGGGATACAGGTGTAGTGTTATAACGTTATACTATATAATACTAGCCCCATAGCATGCCACCCACAAACAACACACCAGAGACAAGAGAGTCTACTACTTGTTGCCAAGGCTAATGCCAAAGAGCTGAGAGAAAAAGCATCCAGCCTAGTTACCAGCAGACTCCAACGTCACCTGGGACATCAAGCGCTCCATACCTGCCTCGATCCTCACGCCGTAGCTGGGACCTACAGCATGCGCCACGCAATGCCGGCTAACTTTTTTCTATTACCGTATACTTCAGCGCTTGGGCCAAGTGTAACTTCTCTTTCTATCTTTATAGTAAAGACGGGTCTTCGCTCTTCCGCCTCGAAGCTGGTTTCGACACTCCTGGACTCGAGAAACCCTCTTCCTGCCCTCGGCCTCCCAGAGAGCTAGGAGTAGCAGGCGTGAGCTACCGCGCCAGGCGAGACCTTAGAATAAACATATGTTCGAAACTGATGTCAAACAAGTTTACAGTTTATGTAGAGATAAAAATGTATATGTCTTCTTGCTTAATTCTTACTCCTACCATCTTTCACCTTCTATACAATAGCGCTGCTGCACACGGATGGCTTTTTACTTATCTATTTGTTCCTAGAAGAGTTGTACAAACTGGCCTCTGATGGAGCAAGAAAAATAACAACACTTTTACTGAACTTTTCAGACTCTTAGGAATATTATTTTACATGAGGTGCACAAACACACTCTGCTATTAAACCTCGTTGGCTAACTAATGATTGCAAAATTATGATAGCGTGATTAGGAAGAAACCTGGAAACTTTTGACTCAGTGGCTCAGGCACTGGGCCTGGTCCTTTTTTCTCTTTCTAGTTATTGTGTGGTGTTCCAAGTAGATTTTAATTCCATGAGAGCAAGATTAAACATTTCTTTCTTTATTTGCTTTTTAAGGGCAGAGGCTTTGAAGCAAAGTCGAAATGTGTGGTGGCATGCCAACCTGGAACGTGTCCACGTAGAATGAGAAACGTGTTTTTTTCTTTTCTTTGTGCAGTGGTGCAAACAGGGTGAGCACTCAGAGGAGGCTCTGGAGGGTTGGGTGTTTTTGCTAGTGTATACGTATGTCCGGGAGGGCCTGTCTCCTAAAGACCGGGAGATTTTCATTTACTTTTCTCGTGATAACCCTGCAGTTCCATGAGTCTTCTCCCCCCGAGTAGCTGGGACTACAGGCATGCGCCACCATGCCTGGCTAATTTTTTCTATGTTTTTAAGTTGTCCAGCTAATTTCTTTCTATTTTTAGTAAGGCAGGGTCTTGCTCTTGTTCAGGCTGGTCTTGAACTCCTGACCTTGAGCCATCCGCCGCCTCGGCCTCCCAGAGTGCTGGGATGACAGGCGTGAGCCCCGCGCCCGCCCACCCTTTCCTTCTGAGTGTCTCAGAGGACCTGCTGGTGTCCCTGCCATCCAAGCCCTCTCTCTGTCAGTGCTGCAGGTTGCCCTGCTGCGGCTGGGGCTCCCTCCCGCCCAAACTGGGTTTGCTGCTGGGAGGATCCAGCCGAACCCTGAGTCGGCATTTCCTGGTGTGGGACTGAGGCACTAGCTGAGGTGGCAGCGCAGCAGGCATCCCTCCTTGGTGCTGGCCGGTGCTCTGCGTCCCTCCTGCCAGCTCTGCCCCTGGGTTGAGTCCCTGCCCGGCCCTCACCCTGGCTGCCTGCGGGCTTCTGGTGGGGGGAGGACCTCATCCATCGAAAATCATACAAACACAGATTCGTCTTGTACGTCATGAAGAGTGAGTTTATTCTTC